GCGCACGACGAAAGTTGCGCACGGAACGGAAAATGAGGGTTTCAAAGCAGAACGAACTGTTTCAAGTTCACTGCCTTCACCATCATCTTCGCCCTCACCCTCACTTACATCCGCACCATCATCCGCACTTCACAGCCTCAGCCAGAGCCCTCAGAGTCTCCGTGCGCAAGTTTCGCTGTGCGCATCTTTCGGGATCCCATTAAATAGCATCTTAGAATGAGCATGAACATGCAGAAGTAGATCTGTTGATCATATGGCTCAGTGGTCTAAACAATGGGTAAGTGATACATTGTATGCATGTTCGAATCTAATCTTCATCCTTATATATTTCCATTTAGACTAGTCCGGACTCGTCCACTATGTAGGGTTACAACTCGTCCTATACTGTCCCAGACGTCCTTACTTTTTCAAGTTTAAATCATTTTCGGACGCGCATCCTGTCATCCGTCCTGACTAGTCTTTGTCTCAAAAAGTCCTCGTCTAGGACTAGTCTGCATATTAGATAATAGCTTTCTGTATCAACCGACTTCAGCCCAGTCCTGGACGAGTCTTTTTCAAAAAACGACTAGACTAGACGCGTATAATGTCGCCCGTCAATCATATGATTTAGACGGGGCTTCATAACGCCCACCACTCCTGGACTAGTCATGTACTAGTCGAATTTGAGATAAAGATTAGGCACGACGGGCGACATGACTAGAAAAAGATGCGTCATTTAGCCCGTCTTGTGCTTACTTGGGATGGACTTGATTTTGTCACTGTGATCAAAATAAGTTTTTTGAATTTTTCATCACCCTAGAATTATTTTTTTTTGAAAGAGCAATTTTATATTTTGATAGCGCCTGAAATTCTCTATCTTTTTCTATAGTTGTTTACTGTCTTGCACTTATCTATTATCAAAATAATTTAAGAACGATGAAGTCATCTCAACTGACACTATCGAAAATTTTGTGTGTAGTATACTTTTTCAAACTATAAGTACAAGGAAAATAATTTTTTACAAAAGTAATTACGCATTCTGATAGAGCTTCAAATTCTCTATCATCCTATATATTTTCGTCTGATCCTATGTCTTTATAATGAATAATAAATTGGGTAATATTTAAATATCCTCGTTGATCAATCCTAAATTGAACGGAGAAAATTTTTAAAAAAAGTAGCGACAAATTGCGGATTTTTTTCGAAATTGTCAGTTGAGATGACTTCATTGGTCTTAAATTGTTTTGATAATAGATAAGTGCAAGACAGTAAACAACTATAGAGAAAGATAGAGAATTTCAGGCGCTACCAAAATATATAATTGTTCTTTCAAAAAAATAATTCTAGGGTGATGAAAAATTCAAAAAACTTATTTTGATCACAGTGACAAAATCAAGTTCATGGGAATCTGGACATGAGGGTGCCTTCGTTGTACTCAATTTATTTTCGTAATTCACAAATAAAAACTAAAATATAAATATAAATATACAGGATGATAGAATATTCCGCGGGCTTTCAAAATAGGGTATTATTCTTTTACAAAAAAATATGTTTTTATAGTGACGATATATTCAAAATACCGATTCCCGTTTTTGTTTTCCAGGGATATATACATCCATGGTTTTTGGAAGCAATATCATTTTTATAACACTATTAGTTCATAAATTAAAGAGATAGGGCTTAGAAAGAAAAACGACATCTATGTGTATTTTTACAATGCATTAATTCGATTGTTGAAGGACCAGAAGTTATTTAGTGTAAGATATAAAGAAACAAAAAAGAGGACAATAAAAATGAAGGATAATTGTTATCGGTATTAGACATAAATTGCCTATGGAGAGAATAAAAAACTACGCATGTTTAAGTGCATTATTGGTCGAATGAGTGGATTATAAAAGTATTCGAGATTTCATTGAGAGCACAGCAATTAATATTTCTCGGTAACTTATAGAAAAAGTTAGTAATAAAAAAAAAAGAAATTGGGCTAAAATATGCGCAAAGTATTTTAATGGTGATAAACAAAGATGCAGTACTTTTTTTTTCTACAAAAACAATCTCTTTAAGTGACTTGATACTAGGCTAAATGGCTATCAAGCTCTAACTGTAGATCATTAGAAATTCAGTTAAAAATTCTATAAAACACAGTATAAAGAATCGCTGCATTGAAAATATATTTAAGCATTTTTACATTAGTATCATATTATTTATAGCTTTAAAAATTTGCTCTTATACTGTGTGTTATACAACTATTTCTTTCTTTCCTAATATTCGAATAGATTCTGCTGCGTCATAGCCATAAAATTTATCTTGACAGAAGCTTTTTTAAGCAATATATTTTTGAGTGTGGCATGACGAACGTTTCTTTATATATCACCAGATTTTTATTTCGTAAAAAGACATTTTTACTAAAAAAACGAATTCAGATATTAATTTAACTTGTTTGCAATATAACTCATGCCTCCTCTTCAAAAACTGCAATATAACTCATGCCTCCTCTCCAAAAACTGCATTTTTCATGTTGCTTTAACGTGTTTGTAAAAGATTCGTTGTTTGAATTAAAAGAAGGTTGTAGAAAAAACGTTCAGATTCATAAAATCCAATACATTTGCATCATGTTATAAAAGAACGGTTGATGGGAGAGAAAAAAGCCTTTTATAAATAAAAGACAATGCGTTTAATTACATAAATAGCGTTTTATTCTAAAAGCTGTTGTTGAAATTCTGTTTTGAACTATTTTTTCTTCATGAAATATTGTTTTGTGCTAGTCTATCACTATAGTAGATTTTTATTTCTATTTTTACGTCACTTTTTCACCATTCCACACGTGTTTATAAGTTGGTAGGTTTTACGTGAAATTTTGAGCAAAAAATCTAATGGAAATTTTCTATAGTATGCAAATCATTTTCGCTGGTCAATAGAAAAACGTTATCATTTGTAACAAGAGTGAAATGTAAATCGAGATCTTCTTCTTTGTTTCGTTCACTGTTTCATTACATTGCATTGATATCTGAAGTTCGATGAATCCGAAAATAAAATGAACATTCAAATACAGAATTCTCTGGTTTTATTGTGTAAAAACAGAGTTGAAAATGAGTGAGTTTTATTGAACTCTCTTGAACTAATCGAATCCTGCTGTTTTTTTTTCACTCGAAAATCTGGAATTACAAACTATTAATTAATGTACTCGCATATAGTAAGAATAGTGCATGGGAATTCATAGTCCACTATTGAAAAAGAATCGAATTTCTTAGACAATCCAAATCTGTTCACAGTACATTTTTACAGTATGATAAAATAGTATTTTTTGACTTTATCTAATGTATTTTCGTATTTGACATTGTTCATTATTCATATATCTCGTAGATCTATTTGATAATTGTCGATGCAGCAAAGATATATTATTCATGCGGCACAGAGAAAAAAAATTCTCAAGCAAACATGATAGTAGATCAAGTAATGCCTAACATTTTCTGTCTCAATACAATTTTTAAGTCCACGAAAGTATTGTCACTTAATAGATAGATTTACAAGAAAAAGAATAGTTATCTGTATTGAAATGAGAAGCAATGCAGAAGTCTTACCTCAAAAAATTATTGAATGCTTTTTTTCTATCTTTGCTATATTTGCTTTATAAACTTTCCTGAATTAGAACATGGATAGTGTCTAAATCAGCAGAGAACGAAACATATTTGAATTTTTCTAAAGCGAAATTTCTCTCACTGAAATGTGTATATACTATTTTGTTCCGAGCTTGATGTTGCTCTTAATCAGACAACATTTTTTTGCTTTATTAGAACTCACTGAGAGGGCAAAGATGTATTAACGATAATAAATATGAATGAGTGGAATTGACTTCAGATTAACAGATTTGATTCAGGAAAATAAGTTCTTTTTCAATTAAAAGAAATTTTGTTATGCAATTTGTTTTCCTTTGTTTCTAATTCTTTTTATATTAAATCATCATTTCGCACAGACAATGTTCATGAAGAGCTTACGATCAATGTAAATATGCTCTCAAGAGCTCTTATTCGACATTCAACTTATAGCACATGACTTTTGTATCAATAGATATTTGATCTTCAACTTGCATGCATGGCTAGTTTCTTTTATTTCCAGCTGTAGTTATACAAGCTACTTTGGTATTCTTATTCATTGTCTTTGTTTGACATGATCGTTTTTTTTCTTACGCATACATTGTCTGTTTTTTATTCATCAATAGGCACTTAAAATTTGGAGGTGACAAAGAATGATGAGAGATAGAGTGGCATCCATTGTTAGAAATTCTTGGCAGTTCTATCTATCATGCAAAGCTACTAATCATCTATCTGTTCATTCTGAGAATATACTTATATCATGAAAATTACTGGGAACAGCATGTACTTCAACGTGTTTCCCAGTGTGTTCTCAACACAAGTAAACTCTGAGGTGATGTCAAGATTATCGAGATGTAATTGACTCTTCATCAAAAGAGATGACGTCGTAAGATCGTAGAATAAAAGTATTTCAGTTTATGCATGAGAAAAAATCGAAAAGGCACTAAAAAAATGAAGACGAATTATTTCATTAATGGTTATAACATACAATTTTCATTGCACTAGAAAAGCAAGTATTCATTCACCATTTTCCTTATCATCAATGCAGTAAGAGACGTATTTGACATTCTCAAGTAATAGATATATGATATATTGTGAAAAGAATTTGTTTAAGATAAAACGGACAAAACACCATCGACAGAAAAAACGAAACAAAATAGAAAAAAACATAAAAATCTACACTCTTTCGGCTGTGCGAATTTGATTAGCCTTCGAACAGAAATGATTTCACTTTTGCGTAGGCGAGATGATATCAAGAGCAAACATCTATATAGATGTACAGTGTATATAAATATGCGCAAATATATAAAAAACTATAAACACGAGGGAGAATAGCATTAAGTAACTTAGCCTTCTTATAAAACTCTTGAAAGGTACGACTTTATTGTTGATTTAAAGATAAGGAGTGGAGTCATAAATTAGCAAAACATGGTCAAAAATATATTCACTAGAGTAAGTATACTATATATATTAAAGCTATCAGCTCTAAGAATTAACATGATCAAATAAGGATCACATCTATTAGTTTAAAAGCTATGATGAATTTTTCTAACCCAGGTCGAGAAGTACGGCCAAGTTCCAGCAGGAAAACGCCGGAAGTCGTCGGAACAGAGTGGCAGCATTCCGGCCGGAAAATTTTCGAATTTTTTTCCGCTGACTTTCGGTCAAATTTCTCCCCTTTCCTGCAGGAAGTTGTCCGGAAGTCATCGAAAAAAATCCGAAAATTTTCCGGCAGGAATACTGTCAACTTGTTTCGGCGACTTTCGGTGTTTTCCCGCAGGATTCGGTGACCGGAATCTTTGACTTTGGAATGTACCGTCGTGTAGGGATATGGAATTAAAATTGCTCAATACTGATGAATTATGGGTGTAGATCTAGATGAACTCAAGGCCTCTACACCAACCGTAAAATCCGGTGAAGATGTTACTAGAGAAGTCGAATTAAGATGAAAACATCGTCGTCAACATTCTAACGATATTTGTTGTCCATGTTTCTATTTCCAACAAGAGAATTTTCCATAGCTAATTGCAAGTATGAATGCTTGAAGATGTGAAATTCTCTCCTTATCTGACGACATGATAAAGATAGCTTTGGCTGAAAGAAATAGCTAATATAAGTTTTGCTCTGCGTGGATAGTGTAACCTATTGCTTTTCTTGCCTTTATGCGTCTAGCATACATCAATACCGTAAAATACACAATTTTTTCATTTAGTTTTGTGGCTCGAACAATATCGTGAGCTCCAATGAGGCAGATGTTCCAGCAAAAACGACAAGTGACGATGAGGTGAGTCATGCCGCAAAAACGACAAGTGACGATGAGGTGAGTCATGCCGCAAAAACTCTTATTGTTTGAATAATTTTTTTCAAAATCAGGAGCATCACGAATGGGATCGTCCAATAGAATTTGTGTTTTCACTTATTTCAAACTCCGTAGGACTTGGTAATGTCTGGCGTTTTCCGTATCTTGCTGCTAGAAGTGGTGGTGGTACGTAATGTGTATGAATAGATTTTCTTTAGTTCATTCTATCGTCTAGGTGCTTTTCTTATTCCGTACTTCATTTTGTACTTCCTAATCGGGGCACCTATCTATTACTTGGAATTGGCCTTAGGTCAGTTTTCAAGTCGAGGGCCTGCTACAGCATTTATTCTCGCTAGAGGATGGAAAGGTAAACAAATAACTGGTAATTAATGTTCGTTCTTATTTTTGCTTCCTAAGGTGTCGGCTATGCTATGATTATCAACAGCGTATTATGTATGCTTTACTATAATGTGGTTATTGCATGGTCATTGTTCTACTTTATATCGTCGTTTCGAAAACGTCTTCTGTGGTCTGATTGTGGCTATTGGTGGAATACAAAACACTGCTTCGTGCCCGGAAAACGTGGAACAACTTACACAGTCAATGGAACAACATTCAACTGTACAGAAACGCAATATCAAAATTTTAGTGCATACAATTGCAATGAAATAAACACTACAGACCGAGTCACTGCCACAGAAGAATTCTACTAGTAAGAATTAATGCGATTTTGTTGAATTAGTGACAGAGATTTATTTTGAGAATTGAATAGTGCTTTTATGCTTGTTATTTATTTGCAGCAGACTTCTTCTGAATAAAAGTCCAAGTTTCGATGATTTCGGCACGCCAACAGTTTACATGGCTGTTTCGCTGCTTGTTGCATGGATCATTGTTTGTCTATGCATCATTCGAGGTGTCAAAACATCGGGCAAGGTTTGTTTTACATGGTATTTGCACTTTTGCATTTATTTCTACAGGTTGCCTACTTCACGGCCATTTTCCCGTATGTGGTTCTTTTAATTCTGATAATCTACACTGCAACGTTGAGTGGGGCTGGAGATGGTGTCAGGTTTTATATTATCCCCAAGTGGAACCTAGTTGGTGACTTCAAGGTACGACTTACCTTTTCTATATTTGTTATTTGATTCTCTATTTATGCTGTTGTATATTTGTACAAAAACTAATCAGAGAATAAGTTTCTCGAAGGATATAATCAGCAGGTAAACACAAGTAATGCTTACTTGGAATGTCACTTTGTGCTCAAAAGTGATCGTTATTCGTCATCGATCTTGCAATTGTGTCGTAGAACGACTACATATATAAGTGCTGTGGAATGAAGATTTTTCTATAAGATATAACTTGCGAAATAAGCATCAAGTTTAGAGGCTTTGATGTGAAAAGTTCCATAAAAAAAAACAACAATTTTTTTTCTCTTGACCAGAACATATTGTCATGATACCAACTTTTATTCTCTGCATGAGATTATTAAATTCCAACTTAATCATAACCAGGATAACATCTCTTCTCTCCCGTGACATGCTGCTTTCTACTAATATATCAGATGCAATGACCATTGATCACTGTTTCTTGATACTTTCATACAATGCAATACCGATTGGTTTAACAAAACCGAAAAAAACTTGATCAGCCGTAAAATCTAAGAAAATGTCTGATTGACGTTTAAAAATTTAAAATAAATCATTGTTCGTGAAATTTATCAGTATACACTAGCCTATACAAAATAATTTGAATTCCAATTGAATTCAATCGACTTTTGAAAAGTCGTATAAAATGTGAATTCAGTTTGCACATGTAGTATTTTTATCATTAAAAAATCTATTGTATCAGATGTGTACTTATTTATCAGTTTGCTTTTCAAGTGACTTACAGTTGTTGAATCTGAGCGAATGTCAACTGACAAGGGAACATTCCAAAGTGCCAGACAACTTTTGAGTCGGAACTTTGCGCATCTTATAGTCCTTAGTGAGCTGTATCTATGGTAAAAAAATTCGGGTTCCTGTTTTGTTTCTGGGGAGATATCGAGTTTCTAGTGATTTTTTCCTATAGAACCCCACTTTTGCAGCAAAGCTATGTTTTTGAATTTTGATCTGAAACTTTGTC